AAAAAAAAAAAGTGTCATCTAGTCCTTTGTTTGATTTTTGTTCGGTTATTACCTTTTGTTGAGGGGCCGAATTTCTTTTATTTTATTTTTTCTTTTTGGTTCGACTTTGTTCGAATTTTTTTAGAGTCTTAAAAAAAATATGAAGAGAGTCATGTTGAGGTTCGAGCCGTTGGACGAGATGGATCTCAAAGATCTTGAATATCTCGAAGGTTTGAAGAGGGAATTAATCCCTTGGGAGCAAGAGTATGTGGAGGAGTTGCACGAGCGAAGAGATCTAGAAGAGAAGCTCGAACAACAACTCAAGATCATGGAGGGGTTCGTCAACGAAGAGGCCATGTTTACGTTCGTTCTACCAGGCTATGTCGAAGATGAAGTAACCGAGTTCATGGTCGAGCGAGTCGGGTGGGAGGATTCACCTTCGTTCGGTGTTGTGTCCATGGACGTTGGGGAGCCCGAGGTAGCCGAGGTCAAGGGAGCGATCTTAGTCGTGGGTGATGGAGGTCATGATGAAGAAACACACAAGGAGGGTAGTGCGGATGAAGAGGTGTTCGATGTCGAGAGTGAAGTCTTGGTCGAAGTCGAGGAGGAGATGTACATGATGGTCGAAGTGGTTGAGATAAAAAAAAAGAGTGCCCGAGGTTTGGATGGTCGAGGATGAGTCCTTGAGGGCAAGGACATTCTCAAAGGGGGCGGGAATGATGCTGAAGTGGGTTTCGAGCCCCGACGACGAGAAGGTTCAAGAGCCAAGACGACCCGAAGAAGCTCAAAATAAGGCCAAAACGGCGCATGCATGGCCTAAACGACGGGTCCGAGCTCGTATGCGGGGTACTCAAGCACATGAGAAGGTGGTCAATGAGGCCAAAGACTGGTTAGGCATGGTCGATGATCGAACTGGCGAAAGCCGCGCATCGGGCGGTGGTGCGCGAGAGCAGGCGGACGGCACGCGGACAGCGTTGGGTGTACACGGGTGCGCGGTACGCAAGCAGGCCGCGGGCTTTGGGAGTTACGCGTGGGCAGCGAGCAGCGGGCGAGCTGGGCGCGCGGGTGAAGGTCACGCGGGCGGAAGCCAAGGCCGCATAGGGGTAGGAATGGGGAGCGCGCGGCAGCACGCGCGCGAGAAGATGGGATGCGACAGGGCGCGCGCAATGATGCGCGGGTGTGGCGCAGACGCGGGAGTCCTACACCGCGAAGGTATAGGCGTGCTGGACGCGTACGCGCGCAAGGGCGGCAGTGAAGAAATAGCGCGTGGGATGGCGCGCGCGTGGTGGGCAGATGCACCAAGCCCAGTCCGTGCAGGACTAGGCGAGCGTGAGGCGGTGCACGCAGACGTGGGAGACGCGCGCGCGAAAAGCCGCGCGCGACAAGGATTAGGCAACGTGAAGGCGGCGTGTGCGAAGTAGGGCGGTGAAGACTTGGGGCAAGAATTGGAATTGTTTGGAGTGCAAGCCAAGCAAGATCAAGATCTAGTCAATTTAGGACTCTAGTATATTTAGTTTCCTTCTTGCACAATAATATCTAGATTGTTTAGGAATTTAATATTTTATTGCTTTAATATGTTTCCTAGGTAGATTAGAATTAGTCATAGTTAGGATCTATAAATAGGGAGCATCCCTCATTGTTTTGAAGGGGTCTTGGATTTGAGGAAATAGAAAAGGAAAGTTTGTTCAAACCGTGTGTTAGGGTTCGTGAGAATTCGATCATGCAACCGAATTGGTGAGGCTAAGACCCAAGCCAGTTCAAAAGAGTGTAGCAAGGCTAATACCCGAGTGAACTCAAGTATCGTGAGAGAGTTAGACTAATAACCGAGTCGATCACACCTATCGTCGAGAGCAAGGCCGTGGCGAAGCCGTGATCGAGACAAGTCGAGGGTAACGAACACACGATCCGTCATCATTGGTGCTCTCGTTGAGAGTGATCGATTGGGTGTTCGTTAACTTTTAAGTCCCATTCTTTTTATTTTTTGTTCGATTTTTTGAGTCTTTTTGTTCGAATTTTTTCAGATTTTTTCCAAAAATTTTCGAAATATTTCGTGAGTCTTAAAAAAAAAAAAGTGTCATCTAGTCCTTTGTTTGATTTTTGTTCGGTTATTACCTTTTGTTGAGGGGCCGAATTTCTTTTTTTTTTTATTTTTTCTTTTTGGTTCGACTTTGTTCAAATTTTTTTAGAGTCTTAAAAAAAAGTATGAAGAGAGTCATGTTGAGGTTCGAGCCGTTGGACGAGATGGATCTCGAAGATCTTGAATATCTCGAAGGTTTGAAGAGGGAATTAACCCCTTGGGAGCAAGAGTATTTGGAGGAGTTGCACGAGCGAAGAGATCTAGAAGAGAAGCTCAAACAACAACTCAAGATCATGGAGGGGTTCGTCAACGAAGAGGCCATGTTTACGTTCAATCTACCAGGCTATGTCAAAGACGAAGTAACCGAGTTCATGGTCGAGCGAGTCGGGTGTGAGGATTCACCTTCGTTCGGTGTCGTGTCCATGGACGTTGGGGAGCCCGAGGTAGCCAAGGTCAAGGAAGCGATCTTAGTCGTGGGTGATGGAGGTCATGATGAAGAAACGCACAAGGAGGGTAGTGCGGATGAAGAGGTGTTCGATGTCGAGAGTGAAGTCTTGGTCGAAGTCGAGGAGGAGATGCACATGATGGTCGAAGTGGTCGAGATAAAAAAAAGAGTGCCCGAGGTTTGGATGGTCGAGGATGAGTCCTTGAGGGCAAGGACATTCTCAAAGGGGGCGGGAATGATGCGGAAGTGGGTTTCGAGCCCCGACGACGAGAAGGTTCAAGAGCCAAGACGACCCGAAGAAGCTCAAAATAAGGCCAAAACGGCGCATGCATGGCCTAAACGACGGGTACGAGCTCGTATGCGGGGCACTCAAGCACATGAGAAGGTGGTCAATGAGGCCAAAGACTGGTTAGGCATGGTCGATGATCGAACTGGCGAAAGGCGCGCATCGGGCGGTGGTGCGCGAGAGCAGGTGGACGGCACGCGGACAGCGTTGGGTGTACGCGGGTGCGCGGTACGCAAGCAGGCCGCGGGCGTTGGGAGTTACGCGCGGGCAGCGAGCAGCAGGCGAGCTGGGCGCGCGGGTGAAGGTCACGCGGGCGGAAGCCAAGGCCGCATAGGGGTAGGAATGGCGAGCACGTGGCAGCATGCACGCGAGTAGATGGGCAGCGACAGGGCGCGCGCAATGATGCGCGGGTGTGGCGCAGACGCGGGAGTCCTACACAGCGAAGGCGGAAGGGCGGCAGTGAAGAAATAGCGTGCGGGATGGCGTGCGCGTGGTGGGCAGATGCACGAAGCCCAGTCCGTGCAGGACTAGGCGAGCGTGAGGTGGTGCACGCAGACGTGAGAGACGCGCGCGCGTGAAGCCGCGCACGACAAGGATTAGGCAACGTGAAGGCGGCGTGCGCGAAGTAGGGCGGTGAAGACTTGGGGCAAGAATTGGAATTGTTTGGAGTGCAAGCCAAGCAAGATCAAGATCTAGTCAATTTAAAACTCTAGTATATTTAGTTTCTTTCTTGCACAATAATATCTAGATTGTTTAGGAATTTAATATTTTATTGCTTTCATATGTTTCCTAGGTAGATTAGAATTAGTCATAGTTAGGATCTATAAATAAGGAGCATCCCTCATTGTTTTGAAGGGGTCTTGGATTTGAGGAAATAGAAAAGGAACGTTTGTTCAAACCATGTGTTAGGGTTCGTGAGAATTCGATCATGCAACCGAATTGGTGTGGCTAAGACCCAAGCCAGTTCAAAAGAGTGTAGCGAGGCTAATACCCGAGTGAACTCAAGTATCGTGAGAGAGTTAGGCTAATAACTGAGTCGATCACACCTATCGTCGAGAGCAAGGCCGTGGCGAAGCCGTGATCGAGACAAGTCGAGGGTAACGAACACACGATCTGTCATCATTGGTGCTCTCGTTGAGAGTGATCGATTGAGTGTTCGTTAACTTTTTCTATCCCATTCTTTTTATTTTTTGTTCGATTTTTTGAGTCTTTTTGTTCGAATTTTTTCGGATTTTTCCCAAAAATTTTAAAAAAATTTCGTGAGTCAAAAAAAAAGTGTCATCTAGTCCTTTGTTTGATTTTTGTTCGGTTATTACCTTTTGTTGAGGGGCCGAATTTCTTTTCTTTTATTTTTTCTTTTTGGTTCGACTTTGTTCGAATTTTTTTAGAGTCTTAAAAAAAATATGAAGAGAGTCATGTTGAGGTTCGAGCCATTGGACGAGATGGATCTCGAAGATCTTGAATATCTCGAAGGTTTGAAGAGGGAATTAACCCCTTGGGAGCAAGAATATTTGGAGGAGTTGCACGAGCGAAGAGATCTAGAAGAGAAGCTCGAACAACAACTCAAGATCATGGAGGGGTTCGTCAACGAAGAGGCTATGTTTACGTTCGATCTACCAGGCTATGTCGAAGATGAAGTAACCGATTTCATGGTCGAGCGAGTCGGGTGTGAGGATTCACCTTCGTTCGGTGTCGTGTCCATGGACGTTGGGGAGCCCGAGGTAGCCGAGGTCAAGGAAGCGATCTTAGTCGTGGGTGATGGAGGTCATGATGAAGAAACGCACAAGGAGGGTAGTGCGGATGAAGAGGTGTTCGATGTTGAGAGTGAAGTCTTGGTCGAGGTCGAGGAGGAGATGCACATGATGGTCGAAATGGTCGAGATAAAAAAAGAGTGCCCGAGGTTTGGATGGTCGAGGATGAGTCCTTGAGGGCAAGGACATTCTCAAAGGGGGCGGGAATGATGCGGAAGTGGATTTCGAGCCCCGACGACGAGAAGGTTCAAGAGCCAAGACGACCCGAAGAAGCTCAAAATAAGGCCAAAACGGCGCATGCATGGCCTAAACGACGGGTACGAGCTCGTATGCGGAGAACTCAAGCACAGGAGAAAGTGGTCAATGAGGCCAAAGACTGGTTAGGCATGGTCGATGATCGAACTGGCGAAAGGCGCGCATCGGGCGGTGGTGCGCGAGAGCAGGCGGACGGCACGCGGACAGCGTTGGGTGTACGCGGGTGCGCGGTATGCAAGCAGGCCGCGGCGTTGGGAGTTACGCGCGGGCAGCGATCAGCGGGCGAGCTGGGCGCGCGGGTGAAGGTCACACGGGCGGAAGCCAAGGCCGCATAGGGGTAGGAATGGCGAGCGCGCGGCAGCACGCGCGCGAGAAGATGGGCAGCGACAGGGCGCGCGCAATGATGCGCGGGTGTGGCGCAGACGCGGGAGTCCTACACCGCGAAGGCATAGGCGTGCTGGACGCGTACACGCGCAAAGGCGGCAGCGAAGAAATAGCGTGCGGGATGGCGCGCGCGTGGTGGGCAGATGCGCGAAGCCCAGTCCGTGTAGGACTAGGCGAGCGTGAGGCGGTGCACGCAGACGTGGGAGACGCGCGCGCACGAAGCCGCGCGCGACAAGGATTAGACAACGTGAAGGTGGAGTGCGCGAAGTAGGTCGGTGAAGACTTGGGGCAAGAATTGGAATTGTTTGGAGTGCAAGCCAAGCAAGATCAAGATCTAGTCAATTTAGGACTCTAGTATATTTAGTTTCCTTCTTGCACAATAATATCTAGATTGTTTAGGAATTAAATATTTTATTGCTTTAATATGTTTCCTAGGTAGATTAGAATTAGTCATAGTTAGGATCTATAAATAGGGAGCATCCCTCATTGTTTTGAAGGGGTCTTGGATTTGAGGAAATAGAAAAGGAACATTTGTTCAAACCGTGTGTTAGGGTTCGTGAGAATTCGATCATGCAACCGAATTGGTGAGGCTAAGACCCAAGCCAGTTCAAAAGAGTGTAGCGAGGCTAATACCCGAGTGAACTCAAGTATCGTGAGAGAGTTAGGCTAATAACCGAGTCGATCACACCTATCGTCGAGAGCAAGGCCGTGGCGAAGCCGTGATCGAGACAAGTCGAGGGTAACGAACACACGATCCGTCATCAAGCAGCCTGCGCGCGAGCGCAGGGCAGCAGCGCACACAGACAGCACGCGCGCGCGGGCAGAGCTGCCAATGGCGGCTTGGGGTTACTTGGAGTGCATGACAAGTTCAAGATCCCTAATTATTTAGTTTCCTTAATGCTCTATGATATCTAGATTGGTTAGGATACTTAATATTTTATTGCTTTATTATTTCCCTAGGTAGATTAGGACTAGATATATTTTGTGCCTACATAAAAGCCTCTTCCCTGTGTTATTTTTCATCATTCATGAATTAATAGAAATCCAGAACTTTTGTTCTTCCACTTTGCTTTAGTTTTTCACCAAATTTCTATTGCAATTTTATTCGTTCCAAGAGGCGTTGTTGTGGCTCGAAGAACACCTATCGGCGATTCAAGGTGCGGGTTAGCGACTTATCGGCAGTGGAAACACACGATCTTCATCATTGGTGCTCTCGTTGAGAGGTGTTAGATCATGTGTTTTTCTTCTACCCCATTCCCTATATATATATATCATCATCCACAAAGATGATTCCTAGAAGCAAAGAGAACAAAGCCATGGCCAACAAGGAGATGAAGGACAAGATCGATAATCTCGACGTTCAAGTCCGAAGTATGAGCGAGGCTATGAATACCCTAGGCGAGGGTCTCGATACCACAAAGGCGTCCGTTCGTGAATTGATGGAGGTCATGAACCGAAGGTTCGATGAGATGGCACGCAACATGTTGGCGCGCCAATCACCGCGCCGACGGCCCAATCGCGAGCGGCCTGATCATGAAGGACGCTGCGAGTGCGAGCATGATGATGACCATGAGCGGCGGCATGAGGATCGAGAGTTTGAACGACGCCATGACCGAGAGCGGCACGAGGAGGAGAAACGACGGCGTGAGGAGCGTGAGCGTGAGCGTGAAGAGGACGACTTCGACCAGCGGTCTCAGGCATCCCGCCATCGCGATCGCCCGGAGCCCGAGAAGCCGAGGCTCACGCTGTCCACCTTCTCCAGCAACGATCCCGAGGCTTGGCTCAACCGAGCCATTCAATACTTTGATCTCAACGAGACCGAAGGACATGATCGAGTAAGGTACGCTGCTTATTATCTTTATGGTGAAGCCAACGTGTGCTGGCAGTGGCTTACTAGCGTATACTGGAGCCGACAACGAGTCATCTAATGGAATGATTTTGAGCGAGAGTTACTCACACGTTTCGGAACGTCCAACTACCACAACTACAACGAGGCTCTAACGCGAATAAGGCAGATAGGTAACTTACGTGATTATTTAAAAGAATTTGAGCGTTTAGCTTGTCGAGTAAGAGGCTGGCCCGAGACCGTGTTAGTAGGAGCTTTCATAGGCGGCCTAAAATTTTATCTAGCTGCTGAGGTGCGCTTAGAGCGTCCCGAGACAATGCATGCCGCCATGGAGGTTGCTCGACGCCGAGAAGATCATCTTGTGGCAACTCGAAGGGGACGGGCGGATGCACGCTACCCCGAGACACGACACGCACAACCGGATGCAAGCAATATGGTTCCGAGTGGCGGACCACCTGATACTTCTCGACCACCAGTCCCGGAGGTTAAGAGATTGTCGCTTGAGGAAATAAAGCGCCGACGTGAGAAGGGACTCTGTTTCAAGTGCGACGAGAAATTTACGCTTGGCCATCAATGCAAGCAGGCTTTTGTCATCCACGTCATCGGTGATGAAGAGCCTGAGATCGAGGAGGATTGGAAGCAAGAAGTCGAGATTGGGGTTCCTGAAGAGGAGGCCGAAATCTCAATGCACGCAATGGCTGGGACGAAAGGACCGAAGACAATGCGGTTACCAGCATGTGTCAAAGACCGCCGTATAGTCGTGCTTGTAGACAACGGATCCTCACACAACTTCATCAACGCAACGCTATCTCAAAAGTTGAAGTTGCCAACGAAGAGGGTCGAACCATTTGAATTCTGAGTAGCCAATGGAGAACGGCTAGCATGCTCGGAGGCTTATCGTGCGGTACCGATCAAATTTCAAGTAGTCACCATCAAAGCCGATCTTTATGCGCTACCCTTGGTTGGACCCGACGTTATGCTAGGAGTAAAATGGCTCGAAGGATTAGGGAAAGTGACCACTAACTACCGAACCGGGGTCATGGAGTTCAACTCAGGAGAGCACCGGGTCACGTTAAAGGCAAGCAAGGACTGTGGGACCAAGGAGGTTGGTCTCAAGAGTATAGAGCGGGTTTGGCATGTGGGCGGCCAGCTCTACACCGTTGAGGAGGCAAGCGCACACGCAGGCACGGTCGAGTACAACGACTACTTCGAAGAGGACGAGCAAGACTCGACGGAATATGATGGCCCACCTATCTTCGACGTGTACCCCGGGGATGAACTCATGGACGTCGAAGTAATTGAAGAAGCTGAGGTCGAGGTAACTAAGGTCGAAGGCGAGGTGCAAGAGGTTTGGACGATCAAGCAGCAGCAATCCGAGATACGCGAGTTGGTAGAGCAACCGACCGTGTACTAAGCAAGACCGACAAAGAAGAAGGCAAGATCGATGGAAAGTGTAAGGAGCCTATCTTTTTATTTTAATTCTCGAAATATTTTAAGGATGTAAGGCCCATCGAGTACGTGAATGAGTCGACGCATTATGAAGGACTGCCAATTTTCGACGTATACCCTGATGAACACTTTGTTGGGGTCGAAAGAATTTGGGTTGAGTCCAAGGAAGCCGAAGTGATCGGAGTAAAAGACAAGATTTGGGTTGTGATCGAAGAAGACCGCAGTAAGGAGATGCATGATGTGTATGAGGTGAGAACGCCTCAGTCGATGGTCGATGATGAGTCCTTGAGGATAAGGACATTCTTAAAGGGGGCAGGAATGATACGGAAGTGGGTATCGACCCTCGATGATGAGAAAGGCCGAGGGCCGAGGCTAATGGACAAGGCCAAGCAAAGGGCCGTAACAAGGCTTGCATGGCCTAAGAAATGTGCACGAGCCCATATACGAGGGTTCCGACATGCACAATGGCATAGGAGGTCGAGCAAGATGCTCAAGAGATCGAGGCTTTAAGGCTCGAGTGACATGGTCGACTGGTGCAAGGCATGCGCGAGGGAGCAACGCGAACGACGCTTGGAGGCTAAGGCCTCGGGCATTCACTTTATGGACGAGACGAGCAGTGCGCGAGGGGAGGATGTTGGGTGGACAGCGCGCACGTGGGACGACTGCAAGGAAGGGCGCGAACACGTGCATTGGCGTAGACGCACGCAAACAAGACCATGCCTCGGAAGGAAGCGCTATCGGAGGTTTTAGGATGGTTATCAATGGATTAGAACCTGGTGGGAATTGCTAAGGAACCAGGTGGCTCGAAGGAATGGAAGGCACGCGAGTTGGGTGCCCAACGTGCAACCCGCGCACATGGGCGCGCTGGCAGCACGCTGGCAGGCAATGGCGCGCGCACAGGCCGGCCGCGAATAGGTCGGGCGTGCATGCACGTGCGCGCGCGCGCAGGCACGCGCGCAGATACGGGCGCACGTAGGCGCAGCACAACAGAGCGCGCGCGCAGGAACGCGCGCAGACACTGTGATACGGAAGTGGTCATCAACCCAGGCGAGTCCGACGAGGAAGGTGACGATGGTCTCGATATATGGTTGGAGAACATGTTGGAGGAGCCATCAAGCCCGATATATCGACCTTCATGCAAGAGAGACTAGCCGAAAGGGTGTGGTCTACGGGCTAAGCTAAAGCCCAAGAAGCGCAAGACCAAACGAGCCCGAAGAAAACGCAAGGCGAAGGCTAAGGAATCATGCTGTTGGTGCAAGCCTTGTACAAGGAAGAGACAAGCATGGCGCTCGGAGGCTAAAAGGCGAGGTAAGCAAAGGATGGAGGACGGTTGTATATGGCGTGCTGGAGATTGTGCTAGGTTGGATGGTTGGGACCCCTGGCCATCGGGCGAGCAACTAGGGTAAGTTGGCGACGAGAAAGCAGGCACGAGAGAATGGCGCGCATCGTGCCTTGATGCGCGCGAAGGGACGAGTGATCGTGCACAAGGGGCAGTATCGGGAGCACACGAGTGCATGGCAGTTGAGCAGTCCGAGAGTGTCGGCGATACGTGTGGAACAACGGGTGTACGCGGGAATGCGGTAGGCGATCGGGATACGGGCGTCGATGGTACGCGCAAGTGGGCAAGCGAGCGCGAGAAGGATGCGGGGGAATCGAGCATGGGCAGCAACCGCGAGGGTGGCTGGGACGCGCGGACTACGTGCAGCGAAGACGCGGAGGGCGTTGGGCGCACGAGTGGAGACAACGCGGGCGACGCCCTAGGCCGAGTAGGCATAGGAGTGATGGGCGACTGCACGCACGCGCACGAGGAGTTCGGCGGCAGCAAGGCGCGCGCCATCAGCAGACAACCCATGTCGTGCGGGAGTAGGAGTAGCTGAGGTGGCGTGTGATGCGTGCGAGACGCGCGCGCGCGAAGCCACGCGCGACACGGATTAGGTCTCGAAGGTCGGCGTGCGCAAAGGCGGTTAGGGTTTGGGCGTGCGAGCAATAAGGTGGCCGAGTACTTAGGGGCGTGTGATTTGGAATTGTTTGGAGTGCAAGCCAAGCAAGATCAAGATCTAGTTAATTAGGACTCTAGTATATTTAGTTTTCTTCTTGCACAATAATATCTAGATTGTTTAGGAATTTAATATTTTATTGCTTTAATAAGTTTCCTAGGTAGATTAGAATTAGTAATAGTTAGGATCTATAAATAGGGATGATCCCTCATTGTTTTTAAGGGGCAGAATTGATGAGTTGAATAGAAAAGAACGTTTGTTCGAAACCGTGTGTTAGGATTCGTGAGAGTTCGATCATGCAATCGAATTGGTGAGGCTATGACCTGAGCCAGTTCAAAACCGAAGGAGCAAGGCTAATTACAGAGTGAACTCAAGTATCTTGAGAGAGTTAGGATAATAACCGAGTCGATCACACCTATCGTCGAGAGCAAGGCCGTGGCGAAGCCGTGATCGAGACAAGTCAAGGGAACGCAACAAACGATCCTTCATCATTGGTGCTCTCATTGAGAGTGATTGATTATGTGTTCGTTAACTTTTTCTATCCCATTCTTTTATTTTTTGTTCGAATTTTTGTTTCTTTTTTTTCGATATTTTTCGAATTTTATCCTCTAATTTTCGAAAAATTTCGTGAGTCTAAAAAAAAAAAAAAGTGTCATCTAGTCCTGTGTTTGATTTTTTCGGTTATTACCTTTTGTTGAGGGGCCGAATTTCTTTTGTTTTATTTTTTGGTTCGACTTTTCTTCGAAATTTTTATAGAGTCACAAAAAAAAAGAATGTCTTATGTGCCAATGGACGAGATGGATTGGGAGGATCTCGAATTGTTGGAGAGTTTGGAAAGAGAAGTTACCCCATGGGAAAGCACGTATCTAGACGAACTCCATGAGCGAAGAAATCGAGAAGAATACGAGCGACAACTCATAGAAGGCCGAAGAGCAATGGAGGGTGAAGTTCAAAACCGTGAAGATGATGGTGCGCTGAATTTTCTAATCCTTGAGGACAAGGAAAGTCTTGAAGAGGAGGGGAATGATACGGAAGTGGTCATCAACCCAGGCGAGTCCGACGAGGAAGGTGACGATGGTCTCGATATATGGTTGGAGAACATGTTGGAGGAGCCATCAAGCCCGATATATCGACCTTCAGACAAGAGAGACTGGCCGAAAGGGTGTGGTCCATGGGCTAAGCTAAAGCCTAAGAAGCGCAAGACCAAACGAGCCCGAAGGAAACACAAGGCGAAGGCTAAGGAATCATGTTGTTGGTGCAAGCCTTGTACAAGGAAGAGACGAGCATGGCTCTCGGAGGCTAAAAGGTGAGGTAAGCAAAGGATGGAGGACAGTTGGATATGGCGTGCTGGAGATTGTGCTAGGTTGGATGGTTGGAACCCCTAGCCATCGGGCGAGCAACTAGGGTCAGTTGGCGACGAGAAAGCAGGCACGAGCTAATGATGCGCATCGTGCCTTGATGCGCGTGAAGGGCCGAGTGATCGTGCACAAGGGGCAGTATCGGGAGCGCACGAGTGCACGGCAGTTGAGCAGTCCGAGGGTGTCGGCGATACGCGTGGAACAACGGGTGTACGCGGGAACGCGGTAGGCAATCGGGACACGGGCGTCGATGGTACGCGCGAGCGGGCAGGCGCGCGCAAGAAAGATGCGGGGGTATCGAGCGTGGGCAGCAACCGCGAGGGTGGCTGGGACGCGCGGACGACGGGCAGCAAAGACGCGGAGGGCGTTGGGCGCGCGAGTGGAGACAACACGGGCGACGCCCTAGGCCGATTAGGCGTAGGAGAGATGGTTGACTACACGCACGCGCACGAGGAGTTCGGCGGCAGCAAGGCGCGCGCGATGGCGCGCGATTGGGGAGCAGACGACCCATGCCGTGCAGGAGTAGGAGTAGCTGAGGCGACGTGTGACGCGTGAGAGACGCGCACGCGTGAAGCCACGCGCGACACGGATTAGATCTCGAAGGTCGGCGCGCGCAAAGGCGGGTTAGGGTTTGGGCGTGCGAGCAATAAGGTGGCTGAGTACTTAGGGGCGTGTGATTTGGAATTGTTTGGAGTGCAAGCCAAGCAAGATCAAGATCTAGTTAATTAGGACTCTAGTATATTTAGTTTCCTTCTTGCACAATAATATCTAGATTGT